AATTTTTTTTGTTGCGTCTAGCAAGTTAAAAATTTCTTGCTTACGGGTTTGGTACAAGATTGCATCTTGGTTGCTAAAGTAACGTTCTTAGTTAACCTGTTGGCATTAGTACATGTCTACCACGTCAAATATGGATCTTCCTCAGGTATTCCTTAAGCCTTCACCCGTGAGACTATCAAACAAAATATCGTTAAACCAATTGTTGCTCTCAGGCGGACGTACTTCATAAAAGGATATTCGGAAGTCGCATTTTTATATTAAATCGACCAACTGCTTATAATGCTTTAGATCTTAGTATGATCAGAAAAATGACACCCCAATTACAGGTTAGTGAATACCTTAAATTTGCCATTTATTTTTTTAACAAAGCGTTTTAATCATAATTGTTAGGCTTGGAATGAATCGGATCTATGTAAAGTTATAATTCTTAAAGCTACTGGAAACAAGGCCTTCTGTGCCGGTGGAGATGTTAAACGTATGCATAATAATAGTCTAAATTCCTTTGATAGCTGAAAAAAAATAATTGTTTATGTATTTTACCAGGTGTCATTGAAAATGTAGAACAGGGCGAAGGTCAACATGCTATAAAATTTTTTGAAGAAGAATATCAACTCAATCATCTTATTGCCACGTTAGACAAGCCGTTTGTTTCGTTCTTAGACGGTATTACCAGTACGTCTTGTTTCCGATCACAATCGTTTACATCGGTAAGCACTAGTTAAAGATCCTATTCATAGTTTTTCTCATTGATTGCCATTCATAAAGTGGGTGGTGGTGTTGGACTTTCCGTTCATGCCCCATTTCGTGTCGCAACAGAAAACACTGTATTTGCCATGCCCGAGACAAAAATTGGATTTTTTCCTGATGTTGGTGGATCTTTCTTTTTGCCAAGGATGGATGGTGAAGTCGGAACTTATTTGGCTTTGACAGGCGCTTCATTAAAAGGCCTAGATGTTTTGTAAGTTTTATTATTATTACTATTATTATTTCCGTAAAAATTTATAAAGATATCTAAATATATATTTCATTTTTATTATTTATATTTAACAGTTTATCTGGGATAGCCACACATTATGTTCCATCACAACGATTGCCACTTTTGGAAAATCGGCTAAGTGAAATTGAATGTGATGACCATGAAGTTATAAACGCAGCAATTGAAGAATTTGTTGCTGAACATAATCATGATCATTCTTATGCTCTTGGTGGAAATGTTAGAAAATCTATTGATCGGTAGGTCATAATATGAAAATAAATTTTGATTGTTAAAATTTATTAACAAGTATTTAAAATAGATGTTTCAAGGGAGATAGTGTTGAAGATATCTTAAAAGCTTTGGAGCAAGAAAACTCAAATTGGTCTAGGAAAACAATAAACACAATTTTACAGATGTCACCCACGAGTTTGAAAGTGAGCAATTTGGTTATCATTTTGGTTAATTATTAAATTGACTTATTTTTTTATATTCAATAAATTTGTGTATTGTTGAAAGGTTACATTGAAAGAATTGCGTAAAGGAAAGAATATGGTCATAACGGATTGTTTTAAAATGGAATACAAACTTGCACAAAAATTCTTGGTAACTTGATGAATAAAATAATAATAGCTTTACTGTCGCAATTCAATATGAATCACTATTTAATATGAAATTTTCCATTTAACACAGGAAAAATCTGATTTTGCGAGAGGTGTCAAGCACCTTCTTGTCGAGAAAGAAAAAACGCCTCCAAAATGGGATCCACCATCTTTAGAGGAAGTTTTTGATGTTGATATTGATGAATTCTATTTTAATCCCTCTGGTACACAAGAGCTTGAACTATTGAACATACGTTCATTTGAAAATTATCCATTTTCGAGATTTAGCCGTAGAGATGATAATCGATTAGGGAATCGATTATAAAAAAAAATTTTTTTTTAATATGGTCAGTCGATAAATGATCTAACATATTAAATTGTCATGCTTGACACTATGCATCAATCATATTATATTACGCACATTTTTCACAATTTGTCAATTGTATTATTAATTAGTTCACGTTATTCGTGCGGCTCATGAATTTAAATGCAAATAACTTTTATGCTTAGATTATCAACGCGAATAAAATGAATATTTATTAAATAGTTTTAAGAATTTCCACTTTTATAATACAAAATCCAAATATCTTATTTTCCATGCTAAATCCGTAGTATTAATGTCATGCTTGAAGTTAATATCTGCTTAAAGTTGCGTCTAACACTAATGTTGTTAATCGAAATACCCTATTTTAAACAAAGGTACTGCTATTTCACCATGGTTTTTGCTATTTGCACCATTAGTTTGACCAGAGTTAGGGTTAGTTCCAGTCAAATTAATGGTGTAAATAGCAAAAATCGTGGTGCAAATAGCAATTCCCTTAAACAATTAGTGTTTAAATCAGTCCCGGATATTACCAAATATGGGGACATCTAAAGCGGAGGCACTCATATTTCTTAATGTTCTTGATTAACTTTAGGGTTAGGGTCATTCTATATTAGGGTTAGGATAGGTTTTAGGTAGTTAAATATAAACAAAATTGCCTTTCTGCCATTTTTGATTAACCTACCTAAGGTAGGTTTAGATTGCTGTTTTTTGTATTTTTTAGGTTTTTGGTTTGTTTTTACCAGTGATCAAAATTTTATAATTTGATTGGTAGTTGATCATATGATTTGTCTTCGCTTTAGACATTTCTCAAATAGTGATTTGAACTGAAAAAAAATTTCCTTAATCAGTTAACTGAACTGAATTATTTTATTCAACCAATTGTCAACTGGTTAAATTAATTATCTATCCTGGCACCTGCTTAGAAAACTAGAATTAAAAAGTTTTAAAATATAGAGAGATGATGCTTATTTAAGAAATGTGTAAAACTTTTAAAATGGTTAGGGGATACTGGGCTGGTAATATTTATATACAAACAGATATAACAGCATTGCAAGTGCACACCAACTTAGAATACCAACTAAGTTGAAATCCCAAGTTGGAAGTAATCAAGTACTGTATTACAAAATTATGTTGGAAGTAACTTCAAAATAGGTTATACAACATAGTCTATACCTTACCAACTTACAGAAGTTTCTGTTTAAAAATAAATACATAGTATAAAAATACAAATAAATGATTATACAGTAAGAGCTGCAGAGGCTAGTATCTTGAAGAAAAAAGAAAAGGTTAGAAGGGGTGTTAGTAAATAAAGGCAAAAGATATGAGAACTGAGATGATAAGTCAGTATTTAAAGAAAATGCTGACCAATGCCTACTACCAAATTAAAAAGTAACCTGGTTTTGAGGCTTTAGTTGTAATACCTATTTGGAAGTATATTTATAACTATGTAAATAATGTGAAGAATATATAAAATACTAATAAAGAAGGTCAGAAAGACGAAAAATCCTGATTAAGTTCAAACAGGTAATATCTTACTGAATAAAGCTTAGGTTGCAGATAAAGTA